GGACAAAAAAAATAACTGTTTAATGACCATAATTTTAAGGGTGGGAAGCCAGCTAAGGCTCGTCAGATGAAAATGTCCAAACGGCATCCGCTAACCGCGTAGAACATGCTTTTCCTGGAACCTTACTAACCTAACCTACATAAAGGAGTCACTACAATTGGAATCATTTAAGAGGCTCTTGTTGTTGTCCTCGTACTTATGTTTCAATTTGCTACATAACTCATGAAATAATCATATATAGAGTTTAATTGTTTTTGTACATGCAGAAATGGAAAATGAATGTTATTTATGGAAAGAAGTTTTTTGTTTCTTTGTTCATTAAGAATAGAATCACAACACTCTGGCTGGAACACTTCGCCAAAACCCAAAATTTAAGAAGGGAACATCAGGGCTGCTGGGTCCAGAGCGAACCCAAACATCACCCTGATGTTTCTCTCCTGGAGGCAGCCTTTTTGGTGAGATATTTATATTATTATAATCATACTGAGTGTTAAACCCTTTAGGGTAAGTGTTTATAAATTCTATATAATGGTGCAGACTGCATCAAAAATTTCCCTCTCCGAAGTGTGGGTTTAAAGACGCAATAAACAGAAGCTTTCACTAGACTGTTCCTATGAGGGAAGAGCTTTAAGTCATAACATGATAAAGCTCTACACAGTGTAAATAACAGCTTTAAGTCATAACATGATAAAGCTCTACACAGTGTAAATAACAGCTTTCAAGTCATAACATGATAAAGCTCTACACAGTGTAAATAACAGCTTTAAGTCATAACATGATAAAGCTCTACACAGTGTAAATAACAGCTTTAAGTCATAATATGATAAAGCTCTACACAGTGTAAATAACAGCTTTAAGTCATAACATGATAAAGCTCTACACAGTGTAAATAACAGCTTCAAGTCATAACATGATAAAGCTCTACACAGTGTAAATAACAGTTTCAAGTCATAACATGATAAAGCTCTACACAGTGTAAATAACAGTTTCAAGTCATAACATGATAAAGCTCTACACAGTGTAAATAACAGTTTCAAGTCATAACATGATAAAGCTCTACACAGTGTAAATAACAGCTTCAAGTCATAACATGATAAAGCTCTACACAGTGTAAATAACAGCTTTAATTCATAACATGATAAAGCTCTACACAGTGTAAATAACAGTTTCAAGTCATAACATGATAAAGCTCTACACAGTGTAAATAACAGCTTCAAGTCATAACATGATAAAGCTCTACACAGTGTAAATAACAGCTTCAAGTCATAACATGATAAAGCTCTACACAGTGTAAATAACAGCTTTAAGTCATGATAAATATCTTTGCAGTAAAAATAGGCCAATTAAAGCCAGACTTAAATAGTCTTTATCCCAACACTTATCACTATTATATTCCTGAATCCTTATGAATTATCTGTTCTGTGATAATTTTTTACGTTGTCAGTCTCTCACTCACACATGACCTACTTCTTACACTAGAGATAATAGAGAGACCACAAGTGTCTCTCTCACACACATGACCTATTTCTAACACTAGAGAGAGATAGAACACAGGTCTCTCTCTCACATAACCTATGTTAGCACTAGAGAAAGAGAACATAGTCTCCCTATGACCTACTTCTAGCAGTAGAGAAAGAATAGGTCTCTCTCTCACATAACCTATGTCTAACACTAGAGAGAGAGAACATAGGTCTCTCTCTAACATATGACCTACTTCTAGCACTAGAGAGAACATAGGTCTCTCACATATGACCTACTTCTAGCACTAGAGAAGAGAACACATATCTCTCTCTCTCTCTCATGTATGACCTACTTCTAGCACTAGAGAAACAGAACATAGGTCTCTCTTTCACATATGACCTACTTCTAGCACTAGAGAGAACATAGGTCTCTCTCTCACATATAACCTACTTCTAGCACTAGAAAGAGAGAGAACACATGTTTCTCTCTCACATATGACCTACTTCTAGCACTGGAGAAAGAGAACATAGTCTCTCTCTCACATATAACCTACTTCTAGCACTAGAAAGAGAGAGAACACATGTTTCTCTCTCACATATGACCTACTTCTAGCACTGGAGAAAGAGAACATAGGTCTCTCTCTCACATATAACCTACTTCTAGCACTAGAAAGAGAGAGAACACATGTTTCTCTCTCACATATGACCTACTTCTAGCACTGGAGAAAGAAAACATAGGTCTCTCTCTCACATGTCCTATTTCTAACACTAGAGAGATAACAATAAAACCACAGATCTCACACACACAATCAACTTTTAACACTAAAACTGTTCTAAAATCGTATAAATTTTTCCCTACAGCAAAGTGAAGGCACAGGACCAATACTTGTTACACATAATATCTTATCTATCAACTTTCTCCTTATTGTCAATTATTTCCGGAGTTTCTCAAAGCAATTGTTGAAAACAAAAGAAGTGTAAACATCAAGATCTAAATTTCAACCAATTTCTTTCAAAGGTGCTCAAAAAAAAAAAAAAAAAAAAAAAAAAAAAAAAAAAAAACCAGGTACATTGAAAGTAGGTTTAAGTAGAATTATGGTAATACATTAGTGTACAGGTGCTCCTTGACTTACAATGGTTCAACTTATGGTATTTTGACTTTACAATGGTGCAGCAGCAAATACTTTGGAGATGAACTTGAGATAATTACACAAATAACCCGCACACAGAAGAGAGGCGCTTACGACAACGTTTCAGTCCGACTTGGACCATTGTGACTGTAAATGCTCTAAGTTGGACCGAAACGTTATTGAAAGCTCCTCTCTTCTATGTGTGGGTTATTTGTGTATTGTTCGTCACGGTATTGTGCCCTTTTTTTGTTATTTAAGATAATTACCCAATGTGAAGGTGACAAGTCCCTAACTTGTATTCATTTATTGACTTTTCAATGTTCCTATTTAGTTACAGTAATTATTTTTTTGACTCATCCAGTGACGGTAGTTATTTATTAAGAGACCATACAATAAGTGTCAGGGGCCCGAGACTGTTCAACTGCCTCCCAGCACACATAAGGGGGATTACCAACAGACCCCTGGCAGTCTTCAAGCTGGCACTGGACAAGCACCTAAAGTCAGTTCCGGATCAGCCGGGCTGTGGCTCGTATGTTGGTTTGCGTGCAGCCGGCAGCAACAGCCTGGTTGATCAGGCTCTGATCCACCAGGAGGCCTGGTCTCAGACCGGGCCGCGGGGGCGTTGACCCCCAGAACTCTCTCCAGGTAAACTCCAGGTATTCATTTAGCATATATTCATAATGAGTTACGACATTTTTGACCTAGGATATTTTTGACTAATGGTACTTTCGACTTATGATATCATGAATTCATTGGAAAGTAATCCCATTGTAAGTCAAGGAGCACCTATATATATCGCATTATAAATTATCTACAATTATTATGCGTACGTGATATAAGTGCAGAAATCTACATGTTAAATTGTGTATGCAATATTGCAACAAATACACTTAGTCTTTGTGCAGGAACACATCAAACTATATAAAGAGCATAAAGTATAAAAAGATTATTTAAAAATAATAATCAATAACATTGTACAGTAGGGCCACAACTTTCAACATCGATGCATTCCTGAAAATTATCGTCAGGTCAAATGTTCCGACTAGGATCCTGTTTTCCCAAGACACCAATGTTATGACTAGACACACACTCCAGACCAGGGACGGATCTACTATGAAACTAATGAAGGTTAAGCTGGAGGGCCCCTAATCCCAGAAGGGCCCCACAAGTGACTTTAGTCAACACACTGTATGAGAGGGGCTGCGAAGGGGCCCCATAACAGCTCAAACTTCAGGGCCCCAAAAATGAAGGTCCGCCACTGCTCTCGAGCCACAGTATTACACATCATTCTTAATTTACTTTTTACTGGGAATGTTTATCTAATATTTTACACTCAGAGGTGTTGCTTTCAGTACAAAGATGTAGAGGCATGAAGTAACTGAACTATCACTATCTTCAGAGGTGCAGAGGCAAGTAACTGAACTATCACTATTTTCAGAGGTGCAGAGGCAAGTAACTGAACTATCACTATCTTCAGAGGTGTAGAAGAATGAAGTAACTGAACTATCACCATCTTTTTCCTTACTCTCAGCCTCTATACACAATACGTTTTATACACATTCACCACTCATCACAATGTTATAGTGAGGGTATTATGTGACTAGTGTATAGTGTAGGAAGGTAATAGTGTAATAGTGTTAATGCGGAACACTGCGTCGGAACATCAGAAGTCTTGGCCTTACTTTGTTGCCATCACGTATAACACAAGTTTAGATATCTGTGACAAAACAAAGATTACTTTTCAAATAAAAATATTAATAATCTCAAACCATACATGTATAGTACAGGATGACAACACCTGAAAGCTCTGCTTATTTCTGTACCTTTTTTCAGTGACAAAAATATCATGCAAAATATATTTTTTCATGGCACAAACAAGCCCACGACTGAGGATATATAAGGAGGGTTTGGCTATTGGTCAATATATACAGTGGAGATGTAACTCACCATACACAATACTTATGCTCTGGAACAATACCAGCTGTACCAAGATTAGCCAGTGGAAGGCCTCAGCCTGATGACCAAAAGTGGCGGGTCATCATATGACCGAGACCGGCTTCAGGAAACACTTGTCCTGTTTCTTGACGAATATTAGGTTATATTAGGTTAGGTTATAATAGATTAGGTTATAATAGATTAGGTTATATTAGGTTAGGTTATACTACAGTAGGTTACATTAGGTTAGGTTATATTAGGTTAGGTTATACTAGGTTAGGTTAGGTTGGGTTAGATTAGGTTACATTACATTAAATTAAATCAGGTTAGATTAGCTTAGATTGGGTTAGATTAGGTAAGGTTTGTCAGGAAACAGGACAAGTGTTTCCCAAAGCTGGTCTTAGTCATATGACGACCCACAGCAGGAGCTTTTGGTCATCTGACCGAGGCCTTCCACTGGCTTACCCCTCCACCACTTTAAAAATTATAATTACAATTACACCATTAAATTTCGTGGGCAATATTTTTACAATTTTGTGCTTAATTTTTTTTTTTACATTATTATAATACTGTATCATAGATCTTGCTTATTGTACAGCACTGAGATTCACTTCAGAAACTACAGCCCTGCAGCGGTGTATCAGTTGAACAGCGGAAGATTGTAAAAATCATATCCTCGTTTACCCCAGACAGCCAGCAGGACGTACACTACATGGTAGGCACCGGGGATGAAGCATATAAGACCAGCGATGATAAACACTGGACCTGAGAGACTCTCCAGTGGTACTGCTTCCACAACCACACCGGTAATGAGTAATACTGCAAACATAAAAATGAATGAGAACTTTAGTGTGAACAATTATAACAAATACTATAGCAGGGCCCCATATACACAGCAGGGCATTGCATATACAGCAGGACCCTGCATATACAGCGGGGTCCCATATACAGCAGGACCCTGCACATACAGCGGGGTCCCATATACACAGCAGGGCATTGCATATACAGCAGGACCCTGCACATACAGCGGGGTCCCATATACAGCAGGATCCTGCACATACAGCAGGGCCCCATATACACAGCAGGGCATTGCATATACAGCAGGACCCTGCACATACAGCGGGGTCCCATATACACAGCAGGGCATTGCATATACAGCAGGACCCTGCATATACAGTGGGGTCCCATATACAGCAGGATCCTGCACATACAGCAGGGCCCCATATACACAGCAGGGCATTGCATATACAGCAGGACCCTGCACATACAGCGGGGTCCCATATACAGCAGGACCCTGCACATACAGCGGGGTCCCATATACAGCAGGACCCTGCACATACAGTGGGGTCCCATATACAGCAGGACCCTGCACATACAGCGGGGTCCCATATACAGCAGGACCCTGCACATACAGCGGGGTCCCATATACAGCAGGACCCTGCACATACAGCAGGGTCCCATATACAGCAGGACCCTGCACATACAGGGGGTCCCATATACAGACGAAACCTTGCACATACAGCAGGGTCCCATATACAGCAGGACCCTGCACATACAGTGGGGTCCCATATACAGCAGGACCCCGCACATGCGGGGCTATACCTTATATCTAATTTACCTAGATTAATTTGTGAGCACATTACGCTGTTCCTCACTCAAGTATATTATAATGAAGCATGTGTAATTTATACAATTATATGAGACACTGAACGGCAGTCAAGAAGAAACATTACAATGGCCAAAACCCAAGATGAACGGATAAGGCTCTCCTAAACTTACAATGGGGTTACAGTCTGTCGAACCCATTGTAAGTCAAAAATATCGTAAGTTGAATACATCGTAAGTCAAATACGAATATGATATGCTAAATAAGTAAATAAAATAACTACATACTGTCAGTGAATAATTAAACTAAACAAATAATTATTATAACTCAATACCAGTATTGAAAAGTCAATAAATGAATACAAGTTAGTGACTTGTCACCTTCATGTTCGGCAATTATCTTAAGTTTTACCTCAGAGTAATTGCTGCCACACCATCGTAAAGTCAAAATATCATAAGTTGAAACATCGTAAGTCGAGGAGCAACAATACACGTTAATTTTGGATCCAACTCTTTCAACTGTAACTGCAGAATGTTGCTGTAAATAAAACGGCTTAATAAGAGCATTGACAAACTAACCACAAACTAACTTATGCCCATAATAAGAAGAGTGAAGGCTCCTGCGACTATCCTCCATTTTTCCCGCACTTTAGGATGCAGGAACCACCATCGCGGAGAGTCGGAGAAACTACTACACGTGTCGCCAGGTATCAGAGAGTCGCTGTCGCGGGATATTGCCTGAAACCAAGAGTTTTACGGAATTAATTGACCACAAAATAATAATAATAATGTTTATACCTACATGATACAACTTATACAGACCATAGCTGACAACAATGACATACTATATAGGAAGTTCCTGGTTATGTAGAGCATTTCCTACAACTTAGGTTAATTTTGTCCCCAGGATGCCACCCACACCAGTCACTTAGCAACCAGGATGCCACCCACACCAGTCCACTAACACCCAAGATGCCACCCACACCAGCCCACTAACACCCAAGATGCCACCCACACCAGTCCACTAACACCCAGGATGCCACCCACACCAGTCCACTAACACCCAGGATGCCACCCACACCAGTCCACTAACACCCAGGATGCCACCCACACCAGTCCACTAACACCCAAGATGCCACCCACACCAGTCACTTAGCACCCAGGATGCCACCCACACCAGTCCACTAACACCCAAGATGCCACCCACACCAGTCACTTAGCACCCAGGATGCCACCCACACCAGTCCACTAACACCCAAGATGCCACCCAAAACCAGTCCACTAAACACCGGGTGCCACCCACACCAGTCACCTAACACCCGGATCCCCCACACAGGGTGCCAATGTGCCTGGTGGCTAAAGCTCCCGCTTTCAAAAAAGGAGGCCCGGTTCCCATTTTCCCGCGGGTGGAAACATGCGGGGTCAGTTTCCTTCGCCAGGTTGTCGCTGTTCATAGCTGAAACCAAATTACCCGGAATGTTACACAACTAATAATATGTCTATCCTACATGGTACAAACTTAAAGACCAACACAATGAAAATAAGTTAGGAAGTTTCCCGATGTACGCACCGACACTTGGTTAATTTTCCCCGGGTGGCTAACCCCGAGGTTAAAAATATCCCCCAGATGACAAATCTAAAATATCCTTAAAATCTTATCTACCAGGGTCCACTAAAACACCCAGGATGCCACCCACACCAGTCCACTAAACCCTCCAGCCCGATGCCACCCACACACCAGTCCACTAACACCCAGGATGCCACCCACACCAGTCCACTAACACCCAAGGGTGCCACCACACCAGTCACAAACCCAGATGCCACCCCACTACCCAAAACCCAAGATGCCACCCACACCAGTCCACTAAAAACCCAGGCTGCCACCCCCACCAGTCCACTAACACCCAAGATGCCACCCACACCAGTCCACTAACACCCAGGATGCCACCCACACCAGTCCACTAACACCCAGGATGCCACCCACACCAGTCCACTAACACCCAACAGTAAGGAATGAAGGAAGCAAGGAATGAAGGAAGCAAGGAATGAAGGAAGCGAGGAATGAAGGAAGCAAGGAAAAGCAAGGAAGCAAGGAAGGAAGCAAGGAATGAAGGAAGCAAGCAAGGAATGAAGCAAGGAAGCAAGCAAGGAAGCAAGCAAGGAATGAAGCAAGGAAGCAAGCAAGGAATGAAGCAAGGAATGAAGCAAGGAATGAAGCAAGGAAGCAAGCAAGGAATGAAGCAAGGAAGCAAGCAAGGAATGAAGCAAGGAAGCAAGCAAGAAGGAAGCAAGGAAGCAAGGAATGAAGCAAGGAATGAAGGAAGGAAGGAAGGAAGCAAGGAAGCAAGCAAGGAATGAAGGAAGCAAGGAAGGAAGCAAGGAATGAAGGAAGCAAGGAAGGAAGCAAGGAATGAAGGAAGGAAGGAATGAAGGAAGGAAGCAAGGAAGGAAGGCAAGGAAGCAAGCAAGGAATGAAGCAAGGAAGCAAGCAAGGAATGAAGCAAGGAAGCAAGCAAGGAAGCAAGCAAGGAATGAAGGAAGCAAGGAAGGAAGCAAGGAATGAAGGAAGGAAGGAGTGAAGGAAGGAAGGAATGAAGTAATGAAGGAAGATAGGCAGTAACTTACATCAACATCAGGTACAGTCAGGAGAACCTTGGTACTGACACATTCTTGAGTCTCCTGCGCCATTATCTCGCCACCTGCGCCATTATGTAGCTCCCGGGCCTTAGCCCGGAGTGGCGACCGTTCACCAGTGGCGCCATAAACCCGTATGGGGTCGTCTGGATCCTCCTCGAAGGCATCTTCTATAGTGAAGTGTTTGTGAGACCTGTGTTTACCAGCCGCCATCTTTGTTGAACACTGTTGAACACTGTTGAACACTGTTGAACACTGTTGAACACTGTGTTTACCAGCCGCCATCTTTGTTGAACACTGTTGAACACTGTGTTTACCAGCCACCATCTTTGTTGAACACTGTTGAACACTGTTGAACACTGTGTTTACCAGCCACCATCTTTGTTGAACACTGTTGAACACTGTTGAACACTGTGTTTACCAGCCGCCATCTTTGTTGAACACTGTTGAACACTGTGTTTACCAGCCACCATCTTTGTTGAACACTGTTGAACACTGTTGAACACTGTTGAACACTGTTGAACACTGTGTTTACCAGCCGCCATCTTTGTTGAACACTGTTGAACACTGTTGAACACTGTGTTTACCAGCCGCCATCTTTGTTGAACACTGTTGAACACTGTGTTTACCAGCCACCATCTTTGTTGAACACTGTTGAACACTGTGTTTACCAGCCGCCATCTTTGTTGAACACTGTGTTTACCAGCAGCCATCTTTGGTTGAACACTGTTGAACACTGTTGAACACTGTGTTTACCAGCCGCCATCTTTGTTGAACACTGTTGAACACTGTGTTTACCAGCAGCCATCTTTGTTGAACACTGTTGAACACTGTGTTTACCAGCCGCCATCTTTGTTGAACACTGTTGAACACTGTTGAAACAGTGTGTTTACCAGCCACCATCTTTGTGTTGAACACTGTTGAACACTGTGTTTACCAGCCGCCATCTTTGTTGAACACTGTTGAACACTGTGTTTACCAGCCACCATCTTTGTTGAACACTGTTGAACACTGTTGAACACTGTGTTTACCAGCCACCATCTTTGTTGAACACTGTTGAAACACTGTTTTTGTTTACAGCCCCCAAACTTTTTTGAACACTGTTGAACACTGTGTTTACCAGCCGCCATCTTTGTTGAACACTGTTGAACACTGTGTTTACCAGCCGCCATCTTTGTTGAACACTGTTGAACACTGTGTTTACCAGCCACCATCTTTGTTGAACACTGTTGAACACTGTTGAACACTGTGTTTACCAGCCGCCATCTTTGTTGAACACTGTTGAACACTGTGTTTACCAGCTGCCATCTTTGTTGAACACTGTTGAACACTGTTGAACACTGTGTTTACCAGCTGCCATCTTTGTTGAACACTGTTGAACACTGTTGAACACTGTGTTTACCAGCCGCCATCTTTGTTGAACACTGTTGAACACTGTTGAACACTGTGTTTACCAGCCGCCATCTTTGTTGAACACTGTTGAACACTGTGTTTACCAGCCACCATCTTTGTTGAACACTGTTGAACACTGTGTTTAACAGCCGCCATCTTTGTTGAACACTGTTGAACTGTGTTTACCAGCCCACATCTTTGTTGAACACTGTTGAACACTGGTGTTTTTCCAGCCGCCATCTTTGTTGAACACTGTTGAACACTGTTTTAACACTGTGTTTACCAGCCGCCATCTTTGTTGAACACTGTTGAACACTGTGTTTACCAGCCGCCATCTTTGTTGAACACTGTTGAACACTGTTGAACACTGTGTTTACCAGCCGCCATCTTTGTTGAACACTGTTACAGTTGAACACTGTGTTTACCAGCCGCCATCTTTGTTGAACACTGTTGAACACTGTGTTTACCAGCCGCCATCTTTGTTGAACACTGTTGAACACTGTGTTTACCAGCCGCCATCTTTGTTGAACACTGTTGAACACTGTTGAACACTGTTGAACACTGTGTTTACCAGCCGCCATCTTTGTTTAACACTGTTGAACACTGTTGAACACTGTGTTTACCAGCCGCCATCTTTGTTGAACACTGTTGAACACTGTTGAACACTGTGTTTACCAGCCGCCATCTTTGTTGAACACTGTTGAACACTGTTGAACACTGTGTTTACCAGCCGCCATCTTTGTTGAACACTGTTGAACACTGTGTTTACCAGCGCCATCTTTGTTGACCTGTGACACTGTGAACACTGTTGAACACTGTGTTTACCAGCCTGCCATCTTTGTTGAACACTGTTGAACACTGTGTTTACCAGCCGCCATCTTTGTTGAACACTGTTGAACACTGTGTTTACCAGCCACCATCTTTGTTGAACACTGTTGAACACTGTGTTTACCAGCCGCCATCTTTGTTGAACACTGTTGAACACTGTTGAACACTGTGTTTACCAGCCGCCATCTTTGTTGAACACTGTGTTTACCAGCCGCCATCTTTGTTGAACACTGTTGAACACTGTTGAACACTGTGTTTACCAGCCGCCATCTTTGTTGAACACGGTTGAACACTGTTGAACACTGTGTTTACCAGCCGCCATCTTTGTTGAACACTGTTGAACACTGTGTTTACCAGCCGCCATCTTTGTTGAACACTGTTGAACACTGTGTTTAACCAGCCGCCATCTTTGTTGAAAAACTGTTGAACTGTTGAACACTGTGTTTACCAGCCGCCATCTTTGTTGAACACTGTTGAACACTGTTGAACACTGTGTTTACCAGCCGCCATCTTTGTTGAACACTGTTGAACACTGTGTTTACCAGCCGCCATCTTTGTTAAAACTGTTGAACACTGTTGAACACTGTGTTTACCAGCCGCCATCTTTGTTGAAACAAAATGTTGGAACACCTGTTGAACACTGTTGACACTGTTGAACACTGTGTTTACCAGCAGCCATCTTTGTTGAACACTGTTGAACACTGTTGAACACTGTGTTTACCAGCCGCCATCTTTGTTGAACACTGTTGAACACTGTTGAACACTGTTTACCAGCCGCCATCTTTGTTGAACATGTTGAACACTGTTGAATTTCACTTGTGACCACTGTGTTACCAGCCGCCATCTTTGTTGAACACTGTTGAACACTTGTTGTTTACCAGCCGCCATCTTTGTTGAACACTGTTGAACCCTGTGTTTTAACCAGCGCCATCTTTGTTGAACACTGTTGAACACTGTTTTTAACCCACTGTTGAACACTGTTGAACACTGTGTTTACCAGCCGCCATCTTTGTGAACCTTTGAACACTGTTGAACACTGTGTTTACCAGCCGCCATCTTTGTTGAACACTGTTGAACACTGTGTTTGTGTTTTCCAGCCGCCATCTTTGTTGAACACTGTTTTAACACTGTTTACACCACCATCTTTGTTGAACACTGTTGAACACTGTTGAACACTGTGTTTACCAGCCGCCATCTTTGTTGAACACTGTTGAACACTGTTGAACACTGTGTTTACCAGCCGCCATCTTTGTTGAACACTGTTGAACACTGTGAACACTGTGTTTACCAGGCCGTGAACACTGTTGAACACTGTTGAACACTGTGTTTACCAGCCGTCCATCTTTGTTTTAACACTGTTGAACACTGTGTGTTACAGCGCCATCTTTGTTGAACACTGTTGAACACTGTGAACACTGTGTTACAGCGGCACTGTTGAACACTGTGTTTACCAGCGCCATCTTTGTTGAACACTGTTGAACACTGTGAACTGGTTGACCACTTTGGTGAAACTGTTGAACACTGTTGAACACTGTGTTTACCAGCGCCATCTTGTTGAACACTGTTGAACACTGTTGAACACTGTGTTTACAGCCTATCTTGTTGAACACTGTTGAACACTGTGTTTACCCGTTGACATCTTTGTTGAACACTGTTGAACACTGTTGAACACTGTGTAAACACTGTTGAACACTGTGGTTACCAGCCGCTCTTTGTTGAACACTGTTGAACACTGTTGAACACGTGTGAACACTTTGGTGAACACTGTTTGAACACTGTTGAACACTGGTGTTTGCCAGCCGCCACTTTGTTGAACACTGTTGAACACTATGAACCTGTTGAACACTGTGTTTACCAGTCGCCAATCTTTGTTGAACACTGTTGAACACTGAACACTGTTGAACACTGTGTTTACAGCCGCATCTTTGTTGAACACTGTGTGAACACTGTGTTGCACACTTTGGGTTTAACACTGTTGAACACTGTTGGGAACACTGTTGTTTAGAGCATCTTTGTTGAACATTGCGTTTAACACTGTGGTTTACAGGCATCTTTGTTGAACACTGTGAACACTGTTGAACACTGTTGGTGAACACTTTGTGAACACTGTTTGTTTAACAAATTGTTTACACAGCTGCCCTGTGTTGAACACTGTTGTGAACACTGTGGAACACTGCTGGTGAACACTGGGTGAACCCCTGTTGGTGAACACTGTTGGTGAACACTGGTGAACACTGTGTTGAACACTGCTGGTAATACTGCTGGTGAACACTGTTGGTGAACACTTGCTGGAAAATGCTGGGGAACACGTTGGTGAACACTGTTGGTGAACACTGTGTGAACACTGCTGGTGAAACTGCTGGTGAACACTGTTGCGGAACACTGCTGGTGAACACTGCTGGTGAACACTGTTGGTGAACCTGTGGGACATGTTGGTGAAACCAAACTGCTGGTGAACACTGTTGGTGAACACTGCTGGTGAACACTGTTGGTGAACACTGTTGGTGAACACTGCTGGTGAACACTGTTGGTGAACACTGCTGGTGAACACTGCTTGTTAACACTGCTGGTGAACACTGTTGGTGAACGCTGTTGGTGAACACTGTTGGTGAACACTGTTGGTGAACACTGCTGGTGAACACTATTGGTGAACACTGTTGGTGGGAAAACTGTTGGTGAACACTATTGGTGAACACTGTTTGGGGAACACTTGTTTGGTGAACACTGTGGTGAACACTATTGGTGAACACTGCTGGTGAACACTGTTGGTGAACACTGCTGGTGAACACTGTTGGTGAACACTGCTGGTTAACACTGCTGGTGAACACTGTTGGTGAACACTGTTGGTGAACACTGCTGGTGAACACTATTGGTGAACACTGTTGGTGAACACTGTTGGTGAACACTGTTGGTGAACACTGCTGGTGAACACTATTGGTGAACACTGTTGGTGAACATCTTGGTGACACTCTTGTGAACACTGTTGGTAACACATTGGTGAACACTGTTGGTGAACACTGTTGTGAACACTGTTGGTGAACACTGCTGGTGAACACTGTTGGTGAACACTTCTAATTGCATCACAGCTCCTGGTCCCTGTACCAACCTATATAAGGTCACAGGGGTTGCGTCACAGCTCCTGGTCCCTGTACTAACCTATATAAGGTCACAGGGGTTGAGTCACAGCTCCTGGTCCCTGTACCAACCTATATAAGGTTACAGGGGTTGAGTCACAGCTCCTGGTCCCTGTACCAACCTATATAAGGTCACAGGGTTGTAGTCACAGCTCCTGGTCCCTGTACCAACCTATATAAGGTTACAGGGGTTGAGTCACAGCTCCTGGTCCCTGTACTAACCTATATAAGGTTACATGGGTTGAGTCACAGCTCCTGGTCCCTGTACTAACCTATATAAGGTTACAGGGGTTGAGTCACAGCTCCTGGTCTCTGTACTAACCTACATAAGGTTACAGGGGTTGAGTCGCAGCTCCTGGTCCCTGTACTAACCTATATAAGGTCACAGGGGTTGAGTCACAGCACCTGGTCCCTGTACTAACCTATATAAGGTCACAGGGGTTGAGTCACAGCTCCTGGTCCCTGTACTAACCTATATAAGGTTACATGGGTTGAGTCACAGCTCCTGGTCCCTGTACTAACCTATATAAGATTACATGGGTTGAGTCACAGCTCCTGGTCCCTGTACCAACCTATATAAGGTTACATGGGTTGAGTCACAGCTCCTGGTCCCTGTACTAACCTACATAAGGTTACAGGGGTTGAGTCACAGCTCCTGGTCCCTGTACTAACCTATATAAGGTCACAGGGGTGGAGTCACAGCTCCTGGTCCCTGTACTAACCTATATAAGGTCACAGGGGTTGAGTCACAGCTCCTGGTCCCTGTACTAACCTATATAAGGTTACAGGGGTTGAGTCACAGCTCCTGGTCCCTGTACTAACCTATATAAGGTCACAGGGGTTGAGTCACAGCTCCTGGTCCCTGTACTAACCTATGTAAGGTCACAGGGGTTGAGTCACAGCTCCTGGTCCCTGTAGTAACCTATATAAGGTCACAGGGGTTGAGTCACAGCTCCTGGTCCCTGTACTAACCTATATAAGGTTACAGGGGTTGAATCACAGCTCCTGGTCCCTGTACCAACCTATATAAGGTCACAGGGGTTGAGTCACAGCTCCTGGTCCCTGTACTAACCTATATAAGGTTACAGGGGTTGAGTCACAGCTCCTGGTCCGTGTACTAACCTATATAAGGTTACAGGTTTTGAGTCACAGCTCCTGGTCCCTGTACTAACCTATATAAGGTTACATGGGTTGAGTCTCAGCTCCTGGTCCCTGTACTAACCTATATAAGGTTACAGGGGTTGAGTCACAGCTCCTGGTCCCTGTACCAACCTATATATGGTTACAGGGGTTGAGTCACAGCTCCTGGTCCCTGTACCAACCTATATAAGGTTTCAGGGGTTGAGTCACAGCTCCTGGCATCTGTTTATAACTGTGCGTCCTGAAATATAGTATTTATTATTATAAATAATAAAATATGACTTTATTTGTGTATAAATAAGGAATAATAATAATTTATAATAAGGATCCCTAGGTGTTAACACCTGTGTTTATAACACCTGTGTGTCCTGGAAAAATGTATTAAATTTATAAATAATAAAATATTTGTTTATTTGTTGATAATAAAGTAATAATAATAATAATGATAATAATAATAATAATAATAGTTTATATATAAGATGTCTGGTGAAGGTGTTGTTTAGACTGGAAGGTTCTGAGTGTTATTTATCGTGTTATCTGGCCCCTGGAGGCAGTTTAAGCAGTGTTTAGGCAGTATATAAGGTGTTATTAAGGTGATGCAGAGTGTTATTAACACAGTTAAGGGCAAGGCTCTGGGGGTGGCTGAGTACCTCACTCCTGTACTCAAGGTGATTATCACGACCATCAGGGTTTACTGCTTGCTGGTACTGGCGGGTTTAGTGCTCTTGGTGATGTGGGGGTTTTGATCCTGGGTGTTGGAGCTGTTTTTTCACATTTTATATTGCAGCTCCTTCCTACGAGATGACCCGTACGGGTTTACAGCTTTTGGTTTTAGTGGTATTGGGTGGTTTAGTGCTCTTGGTGATGTGGGGGTTTTGATCCTGGGAGTTGGAGCTGTTTTCTCACATTTTATATTGCGGCTCCTTCCTACAAGGTGACCCGTACGGGTTTATAGCTTTTGGTTTTAGTGGTACTGACGGGTTTAGTGCTCTTGGTGATGTGGGGGTTTTGATCCTGGGAGTTGGAGCTGTTTTCTCACCTTTTACATTGCGGCTCCTTCCTACAAGGTGACCCGTACGGGTTTACAGCTTTTGGTTTTAATAATATAGTGGGTGGTTTAGTACTCTTGGTAAGGGGGGTTTTGATCCTAGGAGTTGGAGCTGTCCTTCCCCTCTGCTTTTTATATTGGATTGTGACTCAACGAGCTGTGACCCTTACGGGTTTACAGCTTATGGTTTTAATATAATGTTGGATTTAGTGCCTTTACAAGTGTTGGGAGGGATCTTGATCCTAGGAATGGGAGCTGTCTTCCCTCTTGTATCTATAAATCCCTCCACGAGGTCTGTGACCCCTACGGGTTTAACACTTCCTGTTTTAATATGATAATGAAGGAACAGCACACATCGAGGGGCTCATGATCCAAGGAATTAGAGCTATCCTCTCCCTTGGATCAAACATAATTTGTATCCCCCCATGCATGTACTGCAACCCCTATGGGTTTAGTGCTTCCCCCATGAATATAATAATAATCACCCTGAAGGGATGTGTCCCGAGGCCAGAGAGGCTCTTCATCCAAGGAATTAGAGCTGTCCTTCCCTTGGATCAAACCTGATTGCCTCACGTTCCTCCCAGGTGTTGTATGGCCCGTATGGGTTTAGGCTCTTATGGGTTTAGTGCTTGATACATGTTTAGTTGTATGACGTGTGGGTTTAGTGCTTAGTTTTGATTGTAATAATAATTATAATGATAATAATTGCAATAATACTATGACCCATGTGGGTCTAGTGCTAATTTTGATTATAATATTAATAATAATAGTAATGTTAATTGCAATGGCCTACATGGCCCTTATGGGTCTAGCACTTAGTTTTCGTCACATTATTAATAATATTAATTTACAGGAGTCGAGGTTCAAGGAGACCGGAGTACTGACCCCAGAGGAGTTCATTGCTGCTGGTGACCACCTGGTCCATCACTGTCCAACATGGCACTGGGTCGCTGCTGACCTTAACAAGACCAAGTCTTACCTACCACACGACAAGCAGTTCCTTATTACCAAGAATGTTCCTTGTTATAAGCGATGTAAGCAGGTATGTAAGTAGGTACCTATTACCAAGAATGTTTGGTGTTATATGCGATGTAAGCAGGTATGTAAGTAGGTACCTATTACCAAGAATGTTCGGTGTTATATGCGATGTAAGCAGGTATGTAAGTAGGTACCTATTACCAAGAATGTTCGGTGTTATATGTGATGTAAGCAGGTATGTAAGTAGGTACCTATTACCAAGAATGTTCGGTGTTATATGCGATTTAAGCAGGTACGTAAGTAGGTACCTATTACCAAGAATGTTCGGTGTTATATGTGATGTAAGCAGGTATGTAAGTAGGTACCTATTACCAAGAATGTTCATTGTTATATGCGATTTAAGCAGGTATGTAAGTAGGTACCTATTACCAAGAATGTTCGGTGTTATATGCGATTTAAGCAGTTATGTAAGTAGGTACCTGTTACCAAGAATGTTCGGTGTTATATGCAATTTAAGCAGGTAAGTAGGTACCTATTACCAAGAATGTTCGGTGTTATATGCGATTTAAGCAGGTATGTAAGTAGGTACTTATTACCAAGTTCGTTCCTTGTTATAAACAGTGTAAAAACTAACACTAATTAATTTTGCGCTAATCAAGACCTAACTGTATGCTCTTACCATATACTCTTGCTGTATGCTCTTACCGTATACTCTTGCTGTATGCTCTTACCGTATACTCTTGCTGTATGCTCTTACCATATACTCTTGCTGTATGCTCTTACTGTGTACTCTTCTTGTATGCTCTTATCGTATACTCTTGCTGTATGCTCTTACCATATACTCTTGCTGTATGCTCTTACTGTATACTCTTGCTGTATGCTCTTACCGTATACTCTTGCTGTATACTCTTGCTGTATGCTCTTACTGTATACTCTTGCTGTATGCTCTTACCATATACTCTTGCTGTATGCTCTTACCGTATACTCTTGCTGTATGCTCTTACCGTATACTCTTGCTGTATGCTCTTACCGTATACTCTTGCTGTATGCTCTTACTGTATACTCTTGCTGTATGCTCTTACTGTATACTCTTGCTGTATACTGCCTCAAGTATATTTCTACCCTGACAGATGGAGTACCGGAGTGAGCAGGAACTGGTGTTAGAGTCTGAAGGTGATCCAGACGGTGGCTGGGTAGACACTCATCACTACAGCGACTCAGCCATACTGGAGGAGAAGGTGGCTGACATGTCCTTAGAGGATAAGGTGGGTGTAGCATATTGTACAGGAAGGCCTTGCACATACAGCAGGGCCCTGTATATACAGCAGGACCCTGTATATACAGCAGGACCCTGTATATACAGCAGGGCTCTGTATATGCAGCAGGACCCTGTATATACAGCAGGACCCTGTATATGCAGCAGGACCCTGTATATTTCAGCAGGACCCTGTATATACAGCAGGACCCTGTATATACAGCAGGACCCTGTATATACAGCAGGACCCTGTATATACAGCAGGACCCTGTATATACAGCAGGACCCTGTATATACAGCAGGACCCTGTATATACAGCAGGACCCTGTATATACAGCAGGACCCTGTATATACAGCAGGACCCTGTATATACAGCAGGACCCTGTATATACAGCAGGACCCTGTATATACAGCAGGGCTCTGTATATGCAGCAGGACCCTGTATATACAGCAGGACCCTGTATATACAGCAGGACCCTGTATATACAGCAGGACCCTGTATATACAGCAGGACCCTGTATATACAGCAGGACCCTGTATATACAGCAGGACCCTGTATATACAGCAGGACCCTGTATATACAGCAGGACCCTGTATATACAGCAGGACCCTGTATATACAGCAGGACCCTGTATATACAGCAGGACCCTTATATACAGCAGGACCCTGTATATACAGCAGGACCCTGTATATACAGCAGGACCCTGTATATACAGCAGGACCCTGTATATATGGCAGGACCCTGTATATACAGCAGGACCCTGTATATACAGCAGGACCCTGTATATACAGCAGGACCCTGTATATACAGCAGGACCCTGTATATGCAGCAGGACCCTGTATATGCAGCAGGACCCTGTATATACAGCAGGGTCTCATATATATAGCAGGGCCCCACACATACAGCAGTGCCCCTCACATACAGCAGGGCCCCACATATGTAGCAGGGCCCTGCACATACAGCAGGACCCTGCACATACAGCAGGACCCTGTATATACAGCAGGACCCTGTATATACAGCAGGGCCCTGTATATACAGCAGGGCCCTGCACATACAGCAGGGCCCTGCACATACAGCAGGGCCCTGCACATACAGCAGGACCCTGCACATACAGCAGGACCCTGCACATACAGCAGGGCCCCACATATACAGCAGGACCCTGCACATACAGCAGGACCCTGCACATACAGCAGGACCCCACATATACAGCAGGACCCTGCACATACAGCAGGACCCTGCACATACAGCAGGACCCTGCACATACAGCAGGGCCCCACATATACAGCAGGGCCCCACATATACAGCAGGGCCCCACATATACAGCAGGGCCCCACATATACAGCAGGGCCCCACATATACAGCAGGGAACCACATATACAGCAGGGAACCACATATACAGCAGGGCCCCACATATACAGCAGGGAACCACATACACAGTACCTCTTTTCAGTGTTCCATGTTTTTGTTGGCTTTTAATTGAGTTATTGTTTATGATCATCATTAACATACGAGTATAGTTTGTGACTCATCAACATGAGTAGAAAACCTCTCACAGGTCATTAAAGGTATATCCAGGAGCTGTGACTCGACCCCTGCAACCACAAATGGGTGAGTACTGATGTAGGGTGACCTGTAAAGGAGAAAGCACTTTCACCATCATTCATTTAACCACTGTCTTGCCAGAAGCATGTTATCACAGTTTAACCCCTTGACTGTCGCAACCTCCAATCCTGAGGTGTCTTCTGGTGTCGTAAAGTTTAAAAAAAAAAAAATTATTTTTTCTTATGAAATGATAGAGAATCTTTTCCCGATTGTAATGACACCAAAAAAAACTAAATTTGGTGGAAAACTGATGGAATTATGCTCTCGCGAATTTAGCGACCTCGGCGATATTTACAAATCGGCGATTTCGCCCACTTTAAGCCCTATTTTCGGCTAATTCCGTTGTTCCAGTCGACCAAACTCATAGCTATTTCTTTAGAACTCCATTTTTTCTATCGATTGAGTACAAGAAACTGCCTATTTACCGATTTCAACTACCCAATAATGTGGTCAGAAATTTGCAATTTGGCTAATTTCACAAAAATTAAAAAATATGCCAATTTCAAAATAGGGTCCAGAATGAACAATGCAGACATTCCTGGCTCTAAAATAACATTTTCTTTGTTCATCAGTCATGTCTCCAGGCCCCTCTGATATTACTCTTGCTTTCTATTTTGAATTTTTATTCAAACAAAAAATAGAACACTTACTGTTATACAGACTACTGCAATACTGTAATAATTGTATAAATAACATCAACCCATTCATGACTGCATATTAGAATGACTAGTTGGACATTTATTGGACAATGACATCATTTGTTTACCTTCGAACATTGGCAAAAATCAAACATTTCCCCTACTTTGAGCTCCATTTCCAGGTTCTTTTTATAGTAAAATCAATCAAAATCACCACTATTTCTATAATATGTTTTCCATTCTATCAAATGACACCAAGAAAACGAGAATATAACCATAAATACTATACGAAATTGGACCACAAAGTCGACATTTCAATTAAAAAAAAACGGTCAGTTTTTTGTTTTTTTTCATTATGCACTACGTGCTCCAGAATTTTTTTTATATGGTACACACTGACCACACAGACCCATTCTCTCACATGTGGACCTACCAGCTTTCTCCTGCTTGATTTGAAGCCGCTAGAATTTATGAGTATATATACGTCAAACACTGTGCCTCGTAAGACGTGTATATACGGCCGCGACAGTCAAAGGGTTAAATGGCTATTTGACCTGTAACTTCCTCACTATGTGGCAACATTTTGCTTTGCAAATCTCCTGGAGAGCAAAACGTTGCATTAGTTGCATCTGTGTCCATTTGCCTAACATTTTGTTAGTAAATCTACCATTATTACCATTTAATCAGTCTTGCCAGAAAAAGTGTTGACATCACAGTTTAAATGGCCCTGTAAATTGCAACATCTTCACTCTAGAGTGCAGGCACTTGACTTCCTACCTCCAGGATCAAGTCTGGCTAGCCAGTTTCCTTGAATCCCTTCATAATATATAGTAACATGACTCATGAAATCGTAATGACACGATTGCAAACAAACCATACCACGAGTGGGATTGAACCCGCGGTCAGAGAGTCTCAAAACTCCAGACCGCGGGTTCAATCCCGCCCGTGGTATGGTTTTTTAATATATAGTAATAATAATAATAATTTTTTTTACTCATCCACTAACCTTTGCAATTTTTCTTTAGAATCTCCCATAAGCACAGTATCATCAGCAAAAAGTAACTGTGTCAATTCCCATTTTGAATTTGATTCCCATAATTTAATCCCACCCCTCTCCCAAACACCCTAGCATTTACTTCCTTTACAACCCCATCTATAAATATATTAAACAACCATGGTGACATTACACACCCCTGTCTAAGACCTACTTTTACCGGGAAGTAGTCTCCCTCTCTTCTTACACACCCTAAACCTGAGCCTCACTATCCTCATAAAAACTCTTTACAGCATTTAATAACTTACCACCTATTCCATATACTTGCAACATCTGCCACATTGCTCCTCTATCCACTCTATCATATGCCTTTTCTAAATCCATAATGCAATAAAAACTTCCCTATCTTTATCTAAATACTGTTCACATATATGCTTCAATGTAAACACCTGATCTACACATCCCCTACCCACTTTTAAAACCTCCTTGCTCATCCGCAATCCTACATTCTGTTTTTACCTCTAATTCTTTCAATTATAACCCTACCGTACACTTTTCCTGGTATACTCAGTAAGCTTATTCCTCTATAATTTTTACAGTCTCTTTTGTCCCCTTTCCCTTTATATAAAGGGACTATACATGCTCTCTGCCAATCCCTAGGTACCTTCCCCTCTTTCATACATTTATTAAACAAAAGTACCAACCACTCCAACACTATATCCCCCCTGCTTTTAACATTTTATCATGATCCCATCAGTTCCAGCTGCTTTCCCCCCTTTCATTTTACGTAATGCCTCACGTACCTCCCCCACACTTACATTCTGCTCTTCTTCACTCCTAAAAGATGGTATACCTCCCTGACCAGTGCATGAAATTACTGCCTCTGTTTCTTCCTTAACATTTAAAAGTTCCTCAAAATATCTCGCCATCTACCCAATACCTCCATCTCCCCATCTACTAACTCCCCTACTCTGTTTTTAACTGACAAATCCATATTTTCCCTAGGCTTTCTTAACTTGTTTAACTCACTCCAAAATTTTTTCTTATTTTCATTAAAATTTCTTGACAGTGCCTCTCCCACTCTATCATCTGCTCTCCTTTTGCACTCTCTCACCACTCTCTTTACCTTTCTTTTACTCTCCATATACTCTGCTCTTCTTATAACACTTCTGCTTTGTAAAAACCTCTCATAAGCTACCTTTTTCTCTTTTATCACACCCTTTACTTCATCATTCCACCAATCACTCCTCTTTCCTCCTGCCCCCACCCTCCTATAACCACAAACTTCTGCCCCACATTCTAATACTGCATTTTTAAAACTATTCCAACCCTCTTCAACCCCCCCACTACTCATCTTTGCACTAGCCCACCTTTCTGCCAATAGTCGCTTATATCTCACCGAACTTCCTCCTCCCTTAGTTTATACACTTTCACCTCCCTCTTACTTGTTGTTGCCACCTTCCTGTTTTCCCATCTACCTCTTACTCTAACTGTAGCTAACAACTAAATAATGATCCGATATATCAGTTGCCCCTCTATAAACATGTACATCCCGGAGCCTACCCATCAACCTTTTATCCACCAATACATAATCTAATAAACTACTTTCATTACGTGCTACATCATACCTTGTATATTTATTTAATCTCTTTTTCATAAAAATATGTATTACTTATTACCAAATTTCTTTCTACACATAGCTCAATTAAAGGCTCCCATTTACATTTACCCCTGGCACCCCAAATTTACCTACTACTCCCTCCATAACATTTTTACCCACTTTAGCATTAAAATCCCCAACCACCATTACTCTCACACTTGATTCAAAAACTCCCACGCATTCACTCAACATTTCCCAAAATCTCTCTCTCTCCTCTACAACTTCTCTCTTTCCAGGTGCATACACGCTTATTATAACCCACTTTTCACATCCAATCTTTATTTTACTCCACATAATCCTTGAATTAATACATTTATAGTCCCTCTTTTCCTGCCATAGCTTATCCTTCAACATTATTGCTACTCCTTCTTTAGCTCTAACTCTATTTGAAACCCCTGACCTAATCCCATTTATTCCTCTCCACTGAAACTCTCCCACCCCCTTCAGCTTTGTTTCACTTAAAGCCAGGACATCCAGCTTCTTCTCATTCATAACATCCACAATCATCTCTTTCTTATCATCTGCACAACATCCACGCACATTCAGACTTCCCACTTTGACAATTTTCTTCTTCTTATTCTTTTCAGTAATCTTTACAGGAAAAGGGGTTACTAGCCCATTGTTCCCGGCATTTTAGTTGACTTTTACAACACGCATGGCTTACGGAGGAAAGATTCTTATTCCACTTCCCCATGGATATAAAAGGAAAATTAATAAGACCAAGAACTATTAAGATAAAATCAAAGAAAACTCAGATGAGTGTGTATAAATAAATGTGTACATGTATGTGTAGTGTGACCTAAGTGTAAGTAGAAGTAGCAAGACATGCCGTAATCTTGCATATTTATGAGACAGACAAAAGACATCAGCAATCCTACCATCATGTAAAACAATCACAGGCTTCGTTTTACACTCACTTGGCAGGACGGTAGTACCTCCCTGGGTGGTTGCTGTCTACCAACCTACTAGTGAACATAGTGAACTAGTAGAACATAGAAAAGAGTAAGGTGATGAGGGTGTCAAATGATTTAGATAAAGAAAAATTGGATATCAAATTGGGGAGGAGGAGTATGGAAGAAGTGAATGTTTTCAGATACTTGGGAGTTGACGTGTCGGCGGATGGATTTATGAAGGATGAGGTTAATCATAGAATTGATGAGGGAAAAAAGGTGAGTGGTGCGTTGAGGTATATGTGGAGTCAAAAAACGTTATCTATGGAGGCAAAGAAGGGAATGTATGAAAGTATAGTAGTACCAACACTCTTATATGGGTGTGAAGCTTGGGTGGTAAATGCAGCAGCGAGGAGACGGTTGGAGGCAGTGGAGATGTCCTGTTTAAGGGCAATGTGTGGTGTAATTTTTATGCAGAAAATTCGGAGTGTGGAAATTAGGAGAAGGTGTGGAGTTAATAAAAGTATTAGTCAGAGGGGAGAAGAGGGGTTGGTTGAGGTGGTTTGGTCATTTAGAGAGAATGGATCACAGTAGAATGACATGGAAAGCATATAAATCTATAGGGGAAGGAAGGCGGGGTAGGGGTCGTCCTCGAAAGGGTTGGAGAGAGGGGGTAAAGGAGGTTTTGTGGGTAAGGGGCTTGGACTTCCAGCAAGCGTGCGTGAGCGTGTTAGATAGGAGTGAATGGAGACGAATGGTACTTGGGACCTGACGATCTGTTGGAGTGTGAGCAGGGTAATATTTAGTGAAGGGATTCAGGGAAACGGTTATTTTCATATAGTCGGACTTGAGTCCTGGAAATGGGAAGTACAATGCCTGCACTTTAAAGGAGGGGTTTGGGATATTGGCAGTTTGGAGGGATATGTTGTGTATCTTTATATGTTTATGCTTCTAGACTGTTGTATTCTGAGCACCTCTGCAAAAACAGTGATAATGTGTGAGTGTGGTGAAAGTGTTGAATGATGATGAAAGTATTTTCTTTTTGGGGATTTTCTTTCTTTTTTGGGTCACCCTGCCTCGGTGGGAGACGGCCGACTTGTTGAAAAAAAAAAAAAAAAAAAAAAAAAAAATAATAATAATAAAAATCTTCATGGGGAAGTGGAGCAGAATTCTTCCTCCGTAAGTTTTGTGTGGTGTAAGAGGCAACTAAAATGCTGGGAACAAGGGGCTAGTAACCCCTTCTCCTGTATACATTACTACATTATGGCAATATCCCACCCTGCCTCGGTAGGATACGGCCGGTGCGTTGAAAGAAAAACAATTATAATACAACCTCTCCTTGCTTAGCGATGTACTCGTTTACCGATGACTCTGACTTACGACGGGCTCTCTGACCAGTATTCATACCTAAATAATGTATATTAGAGTTGATTTCCTCTATTCTGTTTATTACTGCATACAGTACACTACTATATAAACATTTGAAAATATACCAGAAATGTTATAAATGTTGCAAAGGTGACGTTAAAACAAAATCAAAGATGGTTGACACAAACCCACGACCATTATAGTACGATCCTCACTTAGCCTGGTGGCCTGGTGGTTAACGCTCTGGCTTCACACGGTGAGGGTCTGGGTTCGATTCCCAGCCAGAGTAGAAACATTGGACGTGTTTCTTTCCACCTGTTGTCTATGTTCCCCATCAGTAAAATGGGTACCTGGGTGTTAGTCGACTGGTGTGGGTCGCATCCTGGGACACTGACCTAAGGAGGCCTGGTCACAGACCGGGCCGCGGGGGCGTTGACCCCCGGAACTCTCTCCAGGTAAACTCCAGGTAGCCACAAATTCATTTACCAACGTGGTCTTAGGAACTAAACTCTGTCATTAAGTGAGTAGAGGCTGTAATACTAATACAGTAATAATAATAATAATAATAATAATAATCAGTGACAGTAACAAACTTTACAAGCTCCTTAATAATTAAAATGCTTTATGGGATACTAAATTAAAAATGTAAATTATTTGAAGTTTTTCAAGCTACAAATATATTTCTTATTCTCAGAAAGCAAGCTCTACTGAAGATGACGAGGATGATGAGGAAGATGAGGAAGATGCTGCAGATATGGAAGCTTTCGAAGAGTCGGGGATGCTCGAGCAGGACGATCCTGTATGTTGTGGACAAGTCTCTCTTCTTTGTGATTAGTGATGGTATTTAAAATTTAGAATACTGCAGCTTTATACATCATTAGTAAGGCCTCACCTTGATTATGCAGCTCAGTTTTGGTCTCCGTATTACAAAATGGACATAAATTCGTTAGAAAACATTCAGCGTAGGATGACTAAATTAATACATAGCATCAGAAATCTTCCTTATGAAGAAAGATTGAAGACTCTTAAGTTACATTCACTTGTTAGACGAAGAATGAGGGGAGACCTGATCGAAGTGTATAAGTGGAAGATAGGTATTAATAAAGGGGATATTAATAAGGTCTTGAGGATGTCTCTCCAAGAGAGAACCCGCAGTAATGGATTTAAATTAGATAAGTTTAGATTTAGAAAGGACATAGGAAAGTATTGGTTTGGAAATAGGGTAGTTGATGAGTGGAACAGTCTACCTAGTTGGGTTATTGAGGCTAGGACTTTGGGTAGTTTCAAATCTAGGTTGGATAAGTACATGAGTGGGAAGGGTTGGATTTGAGTGGGACATTCACATCAGAGCTTATTTCTTGGGTAGCATTGAAAATTGGGTTGGGTAAATGTTTTGTTAGTGGGATGAATTGTAAAGGACCTGCCTAGTATGGGCCAGCAGGCCTCCTGCAGTGTTCCTCCTTTCTTATGTTCTTATGTTAATATTGGACTTAAAGGATATTCAAGTTTGAATGTCTTTTTGTTTTTTTAATATGTCAGCCATCTTGCACTGAAGTGGGGTTATCCATAAGAGAGGAAATGCATTTACCATTGTTCACTTGGTTGCTGTTGTGTCAGCAGTGTGTTGACGTCTCAGTTCGGATGACTCTCTGAACTGTAACATCCTCACCTGTACCTCAGAGTACAGGTACTGTACTTCCCACCTCCAGAACTGTAACATCCCTGCCCTTCCAGGGTACTGGCACTGTACTTCCCACCTCCAGAACTGCAACATCCCTGCCCTTCCAGGGTACTGGCACTGTACTTCCCACCACCAGGACTCAAATTCATCCAACCAGTTTCCTTCATAAGTATTACCTTGCCTACACTACAGAACGGTAGTCAAAGGATTGCAGAGGTACATAATGGGTCCAGGGACGGTACCTCAACATTACAGAGGTACACAATGGGTCCAGGGATGGTACCTCAACGTTACAGAGGTACATAATGGGTCCAGGGACTGTACCTCAACATTACAGAGGTTCATAATGGGTCCAGGGACTGTACCTCAACATTACAGAGGTTCATAATGGGTCCAGGGACTGTATCTCAACATTACAGAGGTTCATAATGGGTCCAGGGACTGTACCTCAACATTAGAGGTTCATAATGGGTCCAGGGACTGTACCTCAATATTACAGAGGTACATAATGGGCCCAGGGACTATACCTCAACATTACAGAGGTACATAATGGGAAACTTCATCTGTAATGCTATTGTTGTACCGTAGGTAAACTCTCCTCCATAGATGTAACAATGTACTCATAGTACGAGACACACAACATTCGGGAATCTTTATTGAGGAAACGTGTTGCCAGCCAGTGGCTTCTTCAGTCCAATACAGAGAATAACAGAGGAAGATGAGGAGGAGTTTGAGGTAATCAATCCTTCATTTTGGAGTCGATGTGTTCAGTCAATCGATCTTGAAAAATGTACATCATATACTGCACATGTTGCACGAGTAACATCTTACTCGATGTACAGATGCTCCTCAACTTAAGATTCTTCAGCTTCCAATATTTCAGCTTTATGATGGTGCGGCAGCAATTACTTTAGAGGTGAAACTTAGATAATTACCTAACATGAAGATGGCAAGTCCCTAACTTGTAATCATTTACTTTTCAGTATTGGTACACCTACCATCCGACTTACAACCAAGCTTGGTTCCGACCAACCTGTCGTAAGTCGAAATGGACATAAGTCCAACAATGCAAACAGTTGTTTTTTTGCATACAAAACATTCGTATGCATGAAAACATATGAAAACAGTCGTATGCATGAGCAGAAAAGAACAAAATAACTTAAGCTATAAACGTACATTCGTAAGTACAAGTGGTCGTATGTCAAGCAGGTCGTAAGTAAGATGGTAAGTGTATTTAGTTACTTACAGTAATTATTTGTTTATTTTCTTATTCAGGGACTAATTTATTTAGTTATTTATTTGTCATATATTCATATTCACATAGTCGGACTCGAGTCCTGGAAATGGGAAGTACAATGCCTGCACTTTAAAGGAGGGGTTCGGGATATTGGCAGTTTGGAGGGATATGTTGTGTATCTTTATACGTATATGCTTCTAGACTGTTGTATTCTGAGCACCTATGCAAAAACTGATTATGTGTGAGTGTGGTGAAGGTGTTGAATGATGATGAAAGCATTTTCTTTTTGGGGATTTTCTTTCTTTTTTGGGTCACCCTGCCTCGGTGGGAGACGGCCGACTTGTTGAAAAAAAAAAAATTCATATTCGACATACGATATTTTTAACCTACAGTGGATTCATTGGACCGTAACCCCATTGTAAGTTAACGACCGACTGTACTACAAACGTTCCACAAGGGTGTTAATCGTCTTGTTAATTTTCAAGACTATTTACCTCACATTGTACTCAAAATACAACATTTTCCACTGTTTTGATTTTTTGTTGCTTTTCAGAGCGTAATCCAGACATCAAAGAAAAGCAGCATAGCGTTGAGCCCAGGCGGCAGCATTGGTGACGGCGGAGAAATTCTACAAACACGAACTTATGACCTCCACATAACTTACGACAAATACTACCAGACGCCACGGCTCTGGTTGACGGGCTATGACGAGGCTAGTAATTAGTGTTATTCTGAAATGTTTGATTAATTACTAATTCTTTAACTAGTTTTGTATTCATCATTTTTTCCTTTATCCATAATGGTGAATATTGTCACTTTCTGTAGTTGTCTGAAGAGAGTTATAAGGAGAGAGAAAGATAATGAAAGATGAGAGAAAGTTTAAGAGAAAGATAATGAGAGTGAGAAAGATAGAGAATGAGAGAGAGAATACGATGCAAACTTATTTTTTAATTCCTTTATGAGTGTTCAGTTTTATAAGAAATATATCCATAAAGTTTTGACTCCTGGTATCACTTGTGTTTCCAAAGCAGAATTAAAAATTCTGTTTGAAATACCCCTTTTAAACTAATATGCAGTTAATTTTTAAACTAATTTGCAGTGCACTGGTATGCAGGGAAATTTGTACAACCCATTTATGTTACAATAAATTCTTCGAGATTAACCTTTTGACTTTTGGTCGTATATATAGTGGACCCCCGCATAACGATATTATTTCAATCCAGAAGTCTGTTTGGGCGCTGTTATAGACCGAATTTGTTCCCATAAAAAATATTGTTAATTAGATTAGTCCGTTTCAGACCCCCAAAAATACACCTACAAAAGCACTTGCAAAAATACACTTACATAATTGGTCGAGTTGGGAGCTGATCGTTATGCGGGGGTCCACTGTATATCTAGGTTGGATAAGTACATGAGTGGGAGGGGTTGGATTTGAGTGGGACTTTCACATCAGAGCTTATTTCTTGGGTGGCATTGAAAATTGGGTTGGTCAAATGTTTTGTTAGTGGGATGAATTGTAAAGGACCTGCCTAGTATGGGCCAACAGGCCTCCTGCAGTGTTCCTCCTTTCTTATGTTCTTATGTTCTTACGAGCCAGTGTTTCAGACATATACATACTCAATAATTCTAGCAGCTTCAAATCAAGCAGGAGAAAGCTGGTAGGTCTACATGTGAGAGAATGGGTCTGTGTGGTCACTGTGCACCATATAAAAAAAAATCCTCCAGCACACAGTGCATAATGAGAAAAAAAAGGCTTTTTTTTTTTAATTAACCCGTAAACGGTCCCAGCAGATCTACGTTCACATGTGTAGAGCTACAAAAGTAGATCTAAGTTTTTTTACACATTTTCAAATGTAGAAAAACAAAAAGAAGATCTACTTTTTTTACATACTTTTAAATGTTGAAAAAACGTATATATACGTTTGGACCGTTTACGGGTTAAAACGCCAACTTTGTGGTGTATTTTCGTATAGTATTTATGGTTGTATTCTCGTTTTCTTGGTCTCATTTGATAGAATGGAAAACATATTATAGAACCTGGAAATGGAGCTCAAAATAGGGGAAATGTTTGATTTTTGCCGATGTTCAAAAGTAAACAAATGATGTGATTGTCCAATAAATGTCCAACTAGCCATTCTAATATGCAGTCATGAATGAGTCGACATTATTTATACAATTATTACAGTATTGCAGTAGTCGGCATAACAGTAAATCTTCTATTTTTTGTTTGAATAAAAATTCAAAATAGAAAGCAAGAGTAATATCAGAGGGGCCTGGAGACGTGACTGATGAACAAAGAAAATGTTGTTTTAGAGCCAGGAATGTCTGCACTGTTCATTCTGGACCCTATTTTGAAATTGGCATATTTTTTAATTTTTGTGAAATTGGCCAAATTGCAAATTTCTGACCATGTTATTGGGTAGTTGAAATTGGTAAATGGGCAGTTTCTTGTACTCAATTGATAGAACAAATGGAGTTCTAAAGAAATAGTTGTGAGTTTGGTCGACTGGAACAAGGGAATTAGCCGAAAATAGGGCTCAAAGTGGGTGAAATCGCTGATTCGTTAATATCGCTGAGGTTGCTAACTTTGCAAGAGTGTAATTCCAAAAGTTTTCCATCAAATTTTGTACTTTTGGTGTCATTACCATCAGGAAAAGAATCTCTATCATTTCATAAGAATTTTTTTTTTTTTTTTTTTAATTTTTGCGACACCAGGAGACACCTCAGGATTTGGGGTTGTGACAGTTAAGGGGTTAAAGACCGCTTCGTCAAATTTTAATCTTAAAATTGTAATGGCAGTCAAGTACAGGAAGTCGTCACCTTACGAACACATCGGAGGACCTCTTGAATTGTGCATAATAACAATAATAATAATAATAATAATAATAATAATAATAATAATAATAATAATAATAATATACACAATACAAAAGATTTTCATTATGTCTGTAAGTCAAGGATTTACTGTACATTTGAACTGTCATATCTCTGTGCCTCTGGCAAGACAGTGATAGTGTGAATGCTGGTGAAAGTGTTTTTTCTTTTCTGGGTGACTTTGCCTCGGTGGAAGATGGTTGGCGTGTCGGAAAAGGAAAGACCGTATTCCTGTTTTTTCAGAGTCGGCAACCGTTAACAGTGGAGGAAATGTACGAGGACTTCAGCCAGGACCACGCTAACAAAACTGTTACCATGGAGACCCATCCACACCTTACTGGACCACCCATGGCGTCGGTCCATCCATGCAGGTTGTATTATGACTTTTGTTGATAATGATGACTAAATGTCTTAATATCATGGCTGGAATATTTCACAACTAACCCACAATACCATGACTACAACAATTCACAACTAACCCACAATACCATGACTACAACAATTCACAACTAACCCACAATACCATGACTACAACAATTCACAACTAACCCACAATACCATGACTACAACAATTCACAACTAACCCACAATACCATGACTACAACAATTCAAACTAACCCACAATACCATGACTACAACAATTCACAACTAACCCACAATACCATGACTACAACAATTCACAACTAACCCACAATACCATGACTACAACAATTCACAACTAACCCACAATACCATGACTACAACAATTCACAACTAACCCACAATACCATGACTACAACAATTCACAAGTAACCCACAATACCATGACTACAACAATTCACAACTAACCCACAATACCATGACTACAACAATTCACAACTAACCCACAATACCATGACTACAACAATTCACAACTAACCCACAATACCATGACTACAACAATTCACAAGTAACCCACAATACCATGACTACAACAATTCACAACTAACCCACAATACCATGACTACAACAATTCACAACTAACCCACAATACCATGACTACAACAATTCACAACTAACCCACAATACCATGACTACAACAATTCACAACTAACCCACAATACCATGACTACAACAATTCACAACTAATCCACAATACCATGACTACAACAATTCACAACTAACCCACAATACCATGACTACAATACTATGACTAAGAGTCCCATTTCTGAGTATGAATGTGCTTTTCCTAAATTTAAGTCGTGTAATTAGCTATATGGAGTGATTCAGGTCAACTGGCTAACTGGACTTGAGTCCTGGAGGTGGGAAGTATTGTGCCAGCAGTGTTGACGAGGGATATTGTAGTTTCAAGGGTCGACGGAACTGTTGATGTCAGTGCACCTCTGGCAAGACTGATTTTTTTTTCTTGGTCACTGACCTTTGTGAGAGTTGGCTGGTATGTTAAAAGTAAATTAGCCTTATTGCTGTATTTATATAGATTTTCTAAACACACCAATCATATCCCACTGAGGTAGGGTATACTTTGATATTTCTTTGACGAGTTTCGAGCGTTAATCTACTCTCTGAGCCCGGCCATGGGCCAGGCTCGTCTGGTGCTTGCCTGGTCAACCAGGCTGTTGCTGCTGGAGGCCCATTGCCCCACATATCCATCACAGCCTGGTTGATCTGGCACCTGGTGAAGATACTTGTCCAGTTTCCTCTTGAAGGCTTCTACGCTTGTTCCAGCCGTGTTTCTGATATCTTCTGGTAAGATGTTGAATAGTCTGGGACCCCGGATGTTGATACAGTGTTCTCTTATTGTCCCCACCACACCCGTGCTCCTCACTGGGTTTATTTTACACTTCCCATATCTCTCACTCCAGTACGTTGTTATGGCAGTGTGCAGATTTGGGACCAGACCCTCGAGTATTTTCTAGGTATATATTATCCTGTATCTCTCTCTCCTCCACTCAAATGAATACATGTTCAAGACTTGCAGGCGTTCCCAGTAGTTTAGGTGCTTTACTGGCTCAGTGTGAGCCATAAATGATCTCTTTATTTGTGACCTAAAAAGAAAAATATTTAGTAAATAGTACAAGAAAAGGTATTACTAGTACCTTTCTGCTGGTATTTTAGTCACCTCTTTCGATACCCATGGCTTACAGAGGAAGAATCCTTGTTTATACTTACATCTTTCTTTCAACACACCGGCAGTATCCCACCGAGGCAGGGTGGCCCAAAAAGAAAAACAAAAGTTTCTCCTTTTATATTTAGTAATATATACAGGAGAAGGGGTTACTAGCCCCTTGCTCCTGGCATGGCTTACAAAGGAAGAATTCTGTTCCACTTCCCCATGGAGGTAAGAGGAAATAAACAAGAACAAGAACTAGAAAGAAAATAGAAGAAAACCCAGAGGTGTGTGTATATATATATGCTTGTACATGTGTAGTGTGACCTAAGTGTAAGTAGAAGTAGCAAGATGTACCTGAAATCTTGCATGTTTATGAGACAGACAAAAGACACCAGCAATCCTACCATCATGTAAAACAATTACAGGTTTTCATTGTACGCTCATTTGGCAGGACGGTAGTACCTCCCTGGGCGGTTGCTGTCTACAAACCTACTACCTATGTTATACTTATATATATTATTCTATTTTGTGAACAGGCATGCAGAGACGATGAAGAAGATCTGTGAGACGGTGCTGGAGGGCGGCGGAGAGCTGGGTGTTCATCTGTATCTCATAGTCTTTCTGAAATTTGTCCAGGCCATTATACCAACAATTGAATACGATTATACGTACACCTTCACACTCTAGCTGTCAACTTGCAACCTCTTAAGGTGTTCAGTACCATCAGTTGAATATGATCACACACTCTCACACACTAGATGTCAACTTGCAACCTGTTGATGTCTTCAATATCATCAGTTCAATATGATGATACACACACACACATACACACACACTATCTCTCGCTCTCACACACACACACACACACACACTAGCTATCAGTCTATGTTCCTTCTTAAGATCACCATTATCACCAATTATAATATACACATAAGTGCTTTAGCTGTCAACAATGTACGAACCCTCGTAAAGTTTGCATCACCCGCTGCAAATATAATTACACTAGCTCTTGGTATATATTGAGTTGAGGTTTTCGATTCCAATATTTAAATAGGATTACGCACATTGATATTTGAGTTAGTAATATTTGCTTCTTGAAGTTTTCATTATCGACTGTTGTATGTGGTTATACATTCCTGCTTTAGCTAGCAGTGTATGTTCCATTTTAAGCTTTGAATAAAGTGAAAATAATGCAGATGTAAAGTTAGCGTTCGTACCAAAATATGTCATGATATATAAAACCTGAATAATTCATAATAATATATGGAAGCTGAATAATTACTGATATTAGTGATAATTCTGATACTGTATCACTTTAAAATATGATAATCATGTGAGGGAGTATCATACAGAATAAAGAAGAAGTATTAAATATATCATCGTTGTTTTATTTACTCGATCAACTTTACCGACAAGTCTAATTTTGATATCGTAGACGGTTCAACTGCGTCTCTTGCTTGCAAATTGTTTTATTGTATATATATATATTGTATATATTGTATATCACCCTGCCTCGGTGGGAGACGGCCGACTTGTTGAAAAAAAAAAAAAAAAAAAAAACACTCTGTATATATTGTACATTACCTGTGTATATACAGTGGTACCTCGAGTTATGAACTTAATTTGTTCCAGAAGGCTGTTCGAGTGCCGGTACTGAACGAATTTGTTCCCGTAAGGAATAATGTATATTAGATTAGTCCTTTTCAGACCCCCGAAAATACATGTACAAAAGCACTTACAAAAATTCACTTACATAATTGTTCGAGTTGGGAGGTGTTCAAAACTTGAGGTGCCACTGTACTGTATTTTGTGGCGTATATGACGCGCCGGCGTACACGACGCATTCAAAATTTGGCATGAAAATGTTGAGTTTAGAAAAATAGTAACATATTAAGGGGCAATAAAGTACAAATCATTATCATAGACCCCAAGCCTGACCCCAAACCTGACCCCAAACCTGACCCCAAACCTGACCCCCAAGCCTGACCCCAAGTCTGAACTCAAGCCTGACCCCAAGCCTGACCCCAAACCTGACCCCAAACCTGACCCCAAACCTGACCCCAAACCTGACCCCAAACCTGACCCCAAACCTGACCCCCAAGCCTGACCCCAAGTCTGAACTCAAGCCTGACCCCAAATCTGACCCCAAACCTGACCCCAAACATCACTCCAAACATGACCCCAAACATGACCCCAAACATGGCCCCAAGCCAGACTTTCACTGTGTAGGACATCGTGATTTTGAGGGTCAGATTTTGAAACCAAAAAGTGCATCTTATTTGCTACAAAATATGGTAATTGGTGAAGGAATACACATACAGGCGCTCCTTGACTTACAGTGGTACGACTTACGATATTTCAACTTTACGATGGCGCCGCAGCAATTACTCTGGAGATGAAACAAAAGATAATTAATTACAGTAATTATTTGACTTATTCCGTGACAGTAGTTATTTATTTACATTTTTTTTTTTTCGACAAGTCAACCGTCTCCCACCGAGGCAGGGTGACCCAAAAAGAAAATACTTTCATCATCATTCAACACTTTCACCACACTCACACATAATCACTGTTTTTGCAGAGGTGCTCAGAACACAACAGTTTAGAAGCATATACGTATAAAGATACACAACATATCCCTCCAAACTGCCAATATCCCAAACCCCTCCTTTAAAGTGCAGGCATTGTACTTCCCATTTCCAGGACTTGTGTCTGGTTATATAAAAATAACTGGTTTCCCTGAATCCCTTCACTAAATATTACCCTGCTCACACTCCAACAGATCGTCAGGGCCCAAAATACCATTCGTCTCCATTCACTCCTTTCAAACACGCTCACGCACGCCTGCTGGAAGTCCAAGCCCCTCGCCCGCAAAACCTCCCTTACCCCTTCCTTCCAACCTTTTCGAGGACGACCCCTACCCTGTCTTCCTTCCCCTACAGATTTAAACGCTCTCCATGTCATTCTATTTTGATCCATTCTCTGTAAATGACCAAACCATCTCAACAACCCCTCTTCTGCCCTCTGACTAATACTTTTATTAACTCCACACCTTCTCCTAATTTCCACACTCCGAATTTTCTGCATAATATTTACACCACACATTGCCCTTAGACAGGACATCTCCACTGCCTCCAACCGCCTCCTCGCTGCTGCATTTACAACCCAAACTTCACACCCATACTTAATTTAATTTTTTTTTTTTTTTTATTATTATCACACTGGCCGATTCCCACCAAGGCAGGGTGGCCCGAAAAAGAAAAACTTTCACCATCATTCACTCCATCACTGTCTTGCCAGAAGGGTGCTTTACACTACAGTTTTTAAACTGCAACATTAACACCCCTCCTTCAGAGTGCAGGCACTGTACTTCCCATCTCCAGGACTCAAGTCCGGCCTGCCGGTTTCCCTGAATCCCTTCATAAATGTTACTTTGCTCACACTCCAACAGCACGTCAAGTATTAAAAACCATTTGTCTCCATTCACTCCTATCAAACACGCTCACGCATGCCTGCTGGAAGTCCAAGCCCCTCACACACAAAACCTCCTTTACCCCCTCCCTCCAACCTTTCCTAGGCCGACCTCTACCCCCCCCTTCCTTCCACTACAGACTGATACACTCTTGAAGTCACTCTGTTTCGCTCCATTCTCTCTACATGTCCGAACCACCTCAACAACCCTTCCTCAGCCCTCTGGACAACAGTTTTGGTAATCCCGCACCTCCTCCTAACTTCCAAACTACGAATTCTCTGCATTATATTCACACCACACATTGCCCTCAGACATGACATCTCCACTGCCTCCAGCCTTCTCCTCGCTGCAACATTCATCACCCATGCTTCACACCCATATAAGAGCATTGGTAAAACTATACTCTCATACATTCCCCTCTTTGCTTCCAAGGACAAAGTTCTTTGTCTCCACAGACTCCTAAGCACCACTCACCCTTTTCCCCTCATCAATTCTATGATTCACCTCATCTTTCATAGACCCATCCGCTGACACGTCCACTCCCAAATATCTGAATACATTCACCTCCTCCATACTCTCTCCCTCCAATCTGATATCCAATCTTTCATCACCTAATCTTTTTGTTATCCTCATTACCTTACTCTTTCCTGTATTCACTTTTAATTTCTTCTTTTGCACACCCTACCAAATTCATCCACCAATCTCTGCAACTTCTCTTCAGAATCTCCCAAGAGCACAGTGTCATCAGCAAAGAGCAACTGGACAACTCCCACTTTGTGTGATTCTTTATCTTTTAACTCCACGCCTCTTGCCAAGACCCTCGCATTTACTTCTCTTACAACCCCATCAATAAATATATTAAACAACCACGGTGACATCACACATAATTGTCTAAGGCCTACTTTTACTGGGAAATAATTTCCCTCTTTCCTACATACTCTAACTGAGCCTCACTATTCCTCGTAAAAACTCTTCACTGCTTTCAGTAACCTACCTCCTACACCATACACTTGCAACATCTGCCACATTGCCCCCCTATCCACCCTGTCATACGCCTTTTCCAAATCCATAAATGCCACAAAGACCTCTTTAGCCTTATCTAAATACTCTTCACTTATATGTTTCACTGTAAACACCTGGTCCACACACCCCCTACCTTTCCTAAAGCCTCCTTGTTCATCTGCTATCCTATTCTCTGTCTTACTCTTAATTCTTTCAATAACTCTACCATACACTTTACCAGGTATACTCAACAGACTTATCCCCCTATAATTTTTGCACTCTCTTTTGTCCCCTTTGCCTTTATACAAAGGAACTATCCGTGCTCTCTGCCAATCCCTTGGTACCTTACCCTCTTAACATAAGAACATAAGAAAGGAGGAACACTGCAGCAGGCCTGTTGGCCCATACTAGGCAGGTCCTTTACAATTCATCCCACTAACAAAACATTTGCCCAACCCAATTTTCAATGCTACCCAAGAAATAAGCTCTGGTATGAAAGTCCCACTCAAATCCAACCCTTCCCACTCATGTACTTATCCAACCTAAATTTGAAACTACCCAAAGTCCTAGCCTCAATAACCCAACTAGGTAGACTGTTCCACTCATCAACTACCCTATTTCCAAACCAATACTTTCCTATGTCCTTTCTAAATCTAAACTTATCTAATTTAAATCCATTACTGCGGGTTCTCTCTTGGAGAGATATCCTCAAGACCTTATTAATATCCCCTTTATTAATACCTATCTTCCACTTATACACTATCGATCAGGTCTCCCCTCATTCTTCGTCTAACAAGTGAATGTAACTTAAGAGTCCTCAATCTTTCTTCATAAGGAAGATTTCTAATGCTATGTATTAATTTAGTCATCCTACGCTGAATGTTTTCTAACGAATTTATGTCCATTCTGTAATATGGAGACCAGAACTGAGCTGCATAATCTAGGTGAGGCCTTACTAATGATGTATAAAGCTGCAGTATGACCTCTGGACTTCTGTTGCTTACACTTCTTGATATAAATCCCAGTAATCTATTTGCCTTATTACGTACGCTTAGGCATTGCTGTCTTGGTTTAAGGTTGCTGCTTCATATTGTTGAACTTCATATTGTTTTCTGCAGCCCACTGAAAGATTTGGTTGATGTCCGCCTGGAGCCTTGCAGTGTCTGCAATGGAAGACACTGTCATGCAGATTCGGGTGTCATCTGCAAAGGAAGACACGGTGCTGTGGCTGACATCCTTGTCTATGTCGGATATGAGGATGAGGAACAAGATAGGAGCGATTACTGTGCCTTGTGGAACAGAGCTTTTCACCGTAGCTGCCTCGGACTTTATTCTGTTGACTACTACTCTCTGTGTTCTGTTAGTGAGGAAATTATAGATCCATCGACCGACTTTTCTTGTTATTCCTTTAGCACGCATTTTGTGCGCTATTACTCCATGGTCACACTTGTCGAAGGCTTTTGCAAAGTCTGTATATATTACATCTGCATTCTTTTTGTCTTCTAGTGCATCTAGGACCTTGTCGTAGTGATCCAATAGTTGAGACAAACAGGAGCGACCTGTTCTAAACCCATGTTGCCCTGGGTTGTGTAACTGATGGGTTTCTAGATGGGTGGTGATCTTGCTTCTTAGGACCCTTTCAAAGATTTTTATGATATGGGAAGTTAGTGCTATCTGTCTTTAGTTCTTTGCTATTGCTTTACTGCCCCCTTTGTGGAGTGGGGCTATGTCTGTTGTTTTTAGTAACTGTGGGACGACCCCCGTGTCCATGCTCCCTCTCCATAGGATGGTAAAAGCAGTTCTTGATGAACACAGAGTTCCATGAGTCTGGCCCTGGGGCAGAGTGCATGGGCATGTCATTTATCGCCTGTTCGAAGTCATTTGGCATCAGGATAACATCAG